ATTTTCGGTTTTGTTTCTCAAATGTAGTATCTTTCCCTTAAACTCCAAAATATGGTTCTTACAGTTAATTAATTGATTGCCTGCAAAGAAAGCATATATGTACATATGGTTATACTTGTATCATACAATTTTCTATAATAAATAACAAAAATGTAAACTACAGTGTCTATCTAGCTATATGCACATTGCACTATATATACAGGTGCGTGTTGCTTGAAGTCCCTTTGGGTGACATCTGACTTCAGATACATTGGTTGTTTTGCTGTTTAAGGAAAAGTAGCTCTCCTTTTGTTTATTATTTCCCCCTGATGGTTTTTGAGACCCCAAGGCTCCAGAGTGCACCCCACTCCCTGCCATGCCTCCATCTTGCCTCAGTTATCCCCTCCTCCTGGCTCTATTGCCTGCAACTGTGGAGCCATTCACTTCCAGCATGGGACAAGGCCTGCCACGGCTCCTCCATCCCTGCCACGGGCACTTGTTGGCTCCTGTCTTCAGGTGGCAGCCATGGTGGCCACTCACACAGAACTTAATCCCAGTTTTGCTTTTTAGAATTTGTGAGAGCCACTGCCAGCTACTTCCCTAATTTCTCTTAGCATCTGTTCTTTCATCTATTCATAGATATGTAAGGATAACTGCCTCAGATTTTTCCAGAAGATGCAGTGTAATAAGGATATAAACTACTTGGCAAAGCATAAGAAAAAAACATTGACAATGTCTGATAATATTTATCACTGGACTACTCTAAATTCCTTTATTCTTAGACTGCCTAGCAGCTATGGAAGGAGCCCTGGCAGTACAGTGGTTGTGGGTTGGGCTGCTCATGGCAAAGTCAACAGTTTGATACCATCAGCTGATGCTCAGGAGAGAGAGGAGGCTTTCTGACTCCCGTAAAGTTGCTATCTCAGACACAGACAGGAGCACTACCCTGTCCTATGGGCTCACCCAGCGTGAGTAAGTCTGCAGCTATGAAGCACCAATGTGTAGAATAATGAAAAATTAACTGTTTGCTAAAAATAAAAACTATGCAGGGCGGATGAGCCCTACAGGACCAGTGGTGTGAGTGGCGAAACAGGGAGGGTAAAGGGAGAGTGGGTAGGAAAGAGGGAACCGATTACAAGGA